CCCCCCCCATTCTCTCTCTTTCATCTCCCTTCTTTGGGCTCAAAGCTGCCATATCAGCTCTGCTCAGGACCTTGCCCGCCTTGATATGTTTGTCATTTGAGGGGACCCAGACCCCAAGCTGAGCAGCCCATCGGGATGAGGGACTCCACACCTGCCACCATGATGCCCAGCGGGTCACTGGGGGCTGACCATTCATAGAGGTTGCGTCCACTGTAGTAGCACCAGTACTGGCCTGCAGTGTTGTGGTCCACAGGGCCCAGGAGGAAGTCGGGATTAGACCTCCATCTGAACAGGAACTGGGGGTCTGAGAGCCGCTTGCCCTTGGCTAATGCACACGTGTGATATCCAGGACCCGATTGACACTTCAGGGTCAGCTTGTCCCCAGGCCGCAGCAGCAGGCCTGGCTGGGCTGAGAGGACTGGCTTTTTGTACAGCCCTGGAAAGAAGAAGAAGGGGTGTCAGGAGCTCCCACCACCACACCACCCATGGGGCTGCCTGGTCCCCACTGGTCCTCAGGCTGTCTTCAGTGAATCTCCACTATGAGGCCACGCTCACCAATCACCCCAGCACCTCCAGGGCTCCCCTGGGCATAAGAAGTGTCAACTTGGGGGGCCCAGAAGAAGGCATTGCTGGCTACTGGCTCCCTCATCTGTGACCTCACGATCCATGGGGTAACTGGGGTGCAGCCATGCTTAGAGGCGAGTGCTGAGAGAACCGTGATGTGTGTTTGCACCTCCATGGGAGTTTCTGAGGGCGTCCAGAGGAAAGGAGGGGGCCTGGACTCCCCACTCAGAGGACCCAAGCGCACCTGAGCCGGGCAAGATCATGCCTACTGACCTAGATGAGAGATGCATTTTCTCCTGTAGCAGACAGTGAGGTTGGAAGGGCTGAGAGGGAGAGCTTAGAGTGGGGGTACACTCCTGACAGAGGAAGAGGGGCCTCAATTTGAAGGACACATGGTCACTAACATTACCTCGCCTAACAGACGTCCCCTAGGAAGTGTGAGGGTCCCTGCCTGGAGACTGCACCGGATTCCTAGTTCCTGTGACAAGGAGCCCACACAGGAGGGAGGTGTGATGCATGATTCCTCGCTCTCACCTGTCACAGTGAGGGTCAGGGGGTCACTCAGCTCTGAGCGGCCACTAGAGCTGAGATGTGCACACTGGTACCGCCCAGCATCTTGTGCGTCCACGGAGAGGATGGTGGTGTAGCCGCTAGTGTCCCTGGGATTACGCAGGGTCATAGTCCTAAGAAATGACCCTCCTTTATACAGTCTGTAGACATCCGTCTGCTGAGATCCCTGACACCAGATGGTCACACGTGTCCCCACATTGATGGTGGGCCCTGGGTCAGCCCGGATGGAGGGTTTGGGAAGGGTCCCTGTGAAGAAATCAGACTTGGAACCCTTAGGAGTCCCTGTCCACCAGTGTCCCCAGCTCTCATCTGAAGGCTCTCGTCTCCTAGACTGCCCCCACCCTCAGCCTAGACCCTCAGTACTTCCCTGAGTTTCCAGACGGTTCCCCGTGGACATCAAAGTCTTGAGCTGAGGAGTCTAGGGAGGACTCACCCATTTGCACCTGGTCCCGCTGGCCCCAACACAACCCTGGAGAGAAAGCCCATGAGAATCGTGTCCTTGCAACCCACACACAGTGACCACATGGTGGACAGGACCCTGAGCACTCAGGTCAGGACATGGCTGAGAACACCCGACCCCGTGAAGGCCCAGCTTCCTCTGTAGGCTCTGGAGCCCCTGGGGTCCCCCACAGGACTAGGACCCTGTGTGTGAGGAGAAGGACCTCACCCCACCCCCGTTCCATGGAGCTTACCAAGACACAGGACAGAGAGGGTCAGTGCCGGGCTGCCGTGCATGGTCCCCGGGCCGCAGATGAAATCTAGTGGCCACAGAGCCTGCAGATAGACCGGCTCAGGGTGTGACCTGTCTTAGATCCTATCATGCGGTTTTGTCATCGGTACACTCACAGGAAAGGAACAGCTCCTCTCTGTGGGCCTCTGCTCTCTCTAAATGTTGGGCTGAGGACACAGCTGACTCTGTGGGAACCTTTCAGACCAGACCCGAGTCCAGTCCTGACTCTGCCTTGTACAGAGACGGGACCCACTGGGACAAGTCATCTCCCTTTCATGATCCTGGCCTTTGCCTTTGACCAGCCAGGCAACCAACAAACATATATTTTCTTGTTGTTGTTTGTTGTTGTTATGTGCCATTGAGTTGTTTGCGACTCATAGCGACCCTATGTATGAGAGCTCTAAATGCTGTTCTATCCTGTGCCAATTTAGCCATCTCAAACGCACTTAATCCCACCGCTCCAGTCACAGAATCGATCCATCTCATCGAGGGTCTTCCTCTCCTGCGCCATCCCTCCACTCTGCCAAACATGATGTCCCTCTCCAAGGACCAGTCCCTCCTTGCAACATGCCCAAAGTATGTCAGACCAAACTTCAGAATCCTTGACTCCAAGGAGCATTCCGGCTTCACCCTCTCCAGGACAAACCTGTTTGTTCTCCTAGCAGTCCATGATATATTCAACACTCTTATCCAGCACTACAGCTCAAAAGCATCAGTTCTCTTTCTATCAACCTATTCACTGTCCAACTCTCTGATGCATAGCACGTGGTTGTGAAGACTATAGCCCGGATCATGCACACCTTAGTCTCCAACCTGACATTGTTGCTCTTCAGTACTCTTGAGAGGTCCCTCACAGTCGACTTTCCCATTGCACTTCGTCTCTTGATTTCCTGGCTGCTATAACCAAGAGTGTTGACTGTGGAGCCAAGCAAACAAAAACTGTTAACTGTCTCAATCTCTTCACCATCCATACCAATGCTGCCAATTGGCCCAGTGGTGAGCATCTTTTTTTTTTTTAATTTTCTTAAGTTAAGAAAAAAATGAATTTGTTTTTATTGTGATAGAGAGTTTTAAAAAGAAGTGAATGTAAAAAAAAGGAAGTGAATGTGTTCTTCAACTTTTCATACACATTGTGTCCAGTAAAACATTTTAATCTTCCTAATGTGGCTGCATTTTTCTCATTTCCTCTCTGGAATTTTACTTTCATTAGACCTCCCAGACCTGTCTGTTTTCTTCTTTTTTTAAATTTTTTTGTTTGTCTCTTCTTTCTTTAGTAATACTGTTCTGATTATCCGCTTCTTGAATATTCTTTCATCTTTCTTAAGAAGAAGGTTGTTCTCTATACTGATTGAGAAATCCCTATTATCTAGGTAGCTGTGGTGGCCTAGTGGTGAGAAGTTGCTCTGCCAACCTGAAGACAGGCAGTTCAAACCCACCAGCTGCTCCAGGGGAGAGAGAGACGGGCAGTCTCCTCCCATCAGAGTTACTGCCTCTGTAAACCCACTGAAGGGTCAGCTATGAGTAGGTTCCTACTCGATGGTACATAACAATAATACAAACATTGTTATCTATTTATACACTTTTACTTTTTTAGTAATAAAATTTTTCTTTTATACTGGTTTACTTACTTCTCTATACCTTTTTAAATTTTTTAATTTTTATTTTATTATTATTTGTCTCTGTGTGTGTGTGTGTACCATCAAATCAGATCTGACTAGTACGGGAGGAGATTGCCCCTCCTTCTCCAGCAGAGCTTCTGGTGTATTTGAACCACATATCTCTGGGATTGCAGTGCAGCTTCTTGCCACTAGGCCGCCAGAGCTCCCCTACATTTTATTTGTCTTTCCATCTTTACCCTTCCCTGGTGACCGTGCAAAAAATGATTCTATCTTTGTGTCAACCGTTTCTTAGCTCTCTGGGACGATGGCTTGCTACTGCATCTCTTTTGGGACTTACTTCATCTCATTTAGCACGATGTTTTTTAGATGCATCCGTTGTATGAGGCATTTAGCGAATTCATTACTGTTTTTTAGGGTTATGTAGAACTCCCTCGTGTTAATGTCCTGGTTGTTTCTTTATGCGTTTGTCCATTGACAGAAACTTCCCTTGTTTCCATCTTTGTTACTGTAATGAATACTGCCGTGGACGTGGCTGCACATATTCAACCTAAACATGAAGGGAATCGAGAGTGAAAACTTGCTTCAGAGAGAAGGGAGGAAATATGACCCAGACGATATATAATAGCTGGCAACTACGTACAATTACCAAGCTTAAATGAATTGTTCACAACAACCACAAAACAGGAAATCAAACGAGCAAATAGCCAAGAAATTGAGAATCTTGGAGAGGTGGTGTCTTGGGACATCCTGATGAATTGATGTAATCGAATGCTTGGAGCTTTATTTCTATCTCCCAGTGTGTTGTGTGCTGCGTGGGGTCTGAAATGCTTACAGGCAGATAGTTAAGACACCACAGTTACTCTCGAGGCTCCTGGAGCAACAGAGGAAGAAGGAGACTGGGAAACAGGAGCAGGAAGCTGTGTTGTGGTTAAGTATCACCGTCATCCCGGAAGCACTGGTGACGCCTGGCTACTGTGAAAGAAGATGTTATTCAAAGACTCTGTGGAAGAATCCTGAGCTAAGGTGGAAGGAGCAGACCAGGAGTTCAAATCCTCATGGGGAACTTAAACAAATTTTTTTAAACAAAATAAACCAAACACACAAACGAAAAAGCAAAGCCACAGTGATGAGGCAGGGGTTTTTGATGCTTTTCTTCTCCTTTCCCTTCCTTCTTATCTCTGTGACCCTCCCAAGGTTGCTTGTATCTCTGTATAAAGCATTGCTTGGCTCTCTATAGCAATGATCTACTAGTCCTGGTGTGTCCACTTGCTGTACAGAGGTAAACTCGTGGTTGCTGGGAAGCTGAACACTGTGACACTCATGTGTCAAATGCGATCATGGTTACCCACGGTGGACAGTGTTTGGTGAAGCTCCCAGATTAAAACAAGCTGGGAAGCAGGAGTGGCATCCACTTCTGAAATAGCTTGCCTCCTGAAACCCTATGAACCTGGAGAAAGGATGAAAGTTATACAAGTGTCCAGGTCTTTCGTTCATAGGGTCGCTAGGAGTCGCCTACGAGTTGATAGCACTTAACAACAACAACAACACTTATTCTCTAGATTGAGGATCCTAAATTTCCTCTACATTTTTCTTTGATAATCTCTGTAGTGTTATGTGTTATGGCAATGAACTTGATCTAATTTTTGCGTGTGGCATATGGTATGAATCTTATTTCTGTTTTCTGAAAAGGATGATCTGTTTTGCCATCCCCAGCTGTTAAAGAGACAGTGTCTTCCCTATTTAATGGATTTCATTTCTTTGTCCTACATCCGCTGTCCATAGGTGGGTGGGTTTATTTTTGGGTTTTCAGTCCCATTCCATTGATTAATGTACGCGTCATTTACCCAGCCCGGTGCTGTTTAGAGTACCACGGCTGGGTAATAAGTTTTGAAATCAGGCCTCTAGCTTTAATTTTCTTCTTCCATGCCTCTTTGTGATTCTGTGATATTTTTCCTTTTTCCTATAAAGTTGGTGATTAGTTTTATCACTTCTGTGAATAACGTCAATGGTGTTTTGATAGGAATTGCACTGGGCTTGTTGATTGCACTTGGCAATGTGGTTATTTTCACATTGTCAAGTCTTGAGAAGTCTTCTCATCCATCGGAATGGCTTTAATTCTGTTTATGTAGGTCCTTTAGGGGGCTTCTTACTTGACGAATATTTTTGCTAGTAATGGAAAGGCTGTGCTGAAGATGAGCAATCTCCTCTCTTGCCTTTTACAGCCTTGGAAATTCACTGGGGAGTCAGCTAGGTGTCAGTTCTGGCTGGGGGAGGGGGAGAGAGAGAGGGACAGAAGAGGAGGGAGAGGAGGGCAGGAAAG